GATCTCTACTTTCTCACTCTACCTAGAAAAGCTGAACAATCTGTAAGAAGATGGAAACCGCTTTCCCCGCCCTCCTTAAAATACATGAGGACGTTAATTCCTAAATAAACAAACAAAATCTGAGAAGCCTAAACTAAACGTATGATCGTAACGTCAAAAATATCTCATGTTTCAGACAGCTAATTATTCAGTAATTGTTTGAAGGTAATTTACTCATTGCTGAAAGATACCCAGCGTGTCTAGGTTAGGCAACTGATGAGACATATGTTAATTGCTAGGTCAAGTTCATCAGTTCTGTCTTTGTGCCGCGTTCTTTGACATTGATAATCAGCGTTATTTTTAAATAGCTGTTAAATTTGATTCGTTATATGTGTATATATATATATATATATATATATATATATATATATATATATATATATATATATATATATAACGAATCAAATTTAACATATATATATATATATGTTAAATTTGATATATATATATATATCAACGACAAAACCCAAACAAAATATATATATCAACGACAAAACCCAAACAATATATATATATATATATATATATATATATATATATATATATATATATATATATATATATATATACATATATATATACATATATATATATACATATATATATATATATACAGATATATATATATATATATATATATATATATATATATATATATATATATATATAGAGAGAGAGAGAGAGAGAGAGAGAGAGAGAGAGAGAGAGAGAGCTATTAGTACATAATTAAGTATGTAAAAACAGAAATAATGTAACATGTTTTTTAAACTGTCGTGTTTGTTTTATAATTTTAATTCTTCATTATAGAAGCAATTGCACTTACCTAAATTTTTAATGAAATTGTGACACGCTCACCATTTTATTCATAACTTCCTGTCGAGACTGAAGGCTTATTAATTTAACAGAATTCGTATTGATTTAACGAATACAAATAAAAAGCGTGTATACTTTACATAGATGTAATGAATATGTTTAAAAATTTACTTATCGACAGCTTCTATCGTGAGGAAAAATTTTTAACTGTTTTTTGTGTGGTGGGTTTGTGATTAAATTTGGTCATTGGTATAACTTGGCCATTTGGGGATGGACAGATTTATATTTGACTCCCCCTTCCCAAAAATAAATCCCTTGGTTGTGAAGGCCTCTTAGTCGGTGTGGTCCAGGGTTATTTCTTATTTTTGAAGATCCATAAGAAGAAAAAGAAGTGTGTATTTATATACATATAACTTGTATTTGATATTAAAAAAATATTGTTTCATCACGTTTGTATCTCTCCATCATCATCACCATCATTCTGATAATAATACATTAAATAATTATCCTCCAGAATATAAATATAATATGAGGCATTTTCGAAAACAAATCAAGTAAAAACGAAATACATATCTTCCATGTTCCATGCTTAGGCTTGTTAATGAGTTGATAGATTTTTAATTATTGAATATTCAGAAGATTAATTAGATGAATCCATAAATATAAAATCACCGCTAATAACAAAAACAAAACTTTTTCAGATTAAAGAACAAAGTTTGTTTGCTTTTTTTAAATAAAGTTCGTTCAATTAAAAAAAAAAAAATTGCTATGATCCCCATTTACATTTGGGTTCTGGGACGGATTTTTTACCCTGTCCGTCATTTTGGATAAACCACTGAATTTGGTTTATCTTTAGCTAACTGAACCTATTTATTACTTTAAATATAAGTTGGTCGTTGCTGATCAATATAGTTGAAACTTATTAATTAGTGGGGTTTATTCTATTTATTGTATGCCTATGTGTCAACCCACTTTACAGGTCTTCATCAGAGCTGTTCAAGGATACATGGACTACACGGGCGGATCTACGGGTGGGCTTTCGGGCTGAAGCCCCCTCTCCCCCAAAATGGTGAAATATATATATATTGTTTATATATATATATTTTTATGGAAAAATATATTTAAAATTTATCTCTTAAAGTATTCGTTTTATAAATAAGAAAAATATATTTAAAATTTATCTCTTAAAGTATTCGGACCGAAGAAGGATGAGTTAACCGGAGAGTTCAGACGGTTACACAACGCCGAATTGCGTGAGATGTATCCGGGTAATATAATTGAGGTAATTTCATCGCGGCGAATCAAATGGGCTTGTAAAGTTGTTGGGCTTAGTAACGAGAGAATTCCTAAAAGGTTAATATTTGCTGTGCCGAATGGTAAGCGTCCGAGGGGAAGACCGAAGCGAAGGTGGGAAGATTGCATTAAGGCCGATCTGAAGAGACTGGGTTTGGACGGCGAACGTTGGATGGAGGTGTGTAACAAGCGATTGGTCGTGTCGGCATCGAACCTTCGGTTTCGCTAAGCCTTATTATTATTATTATTATATTATTATTATTATCTCTTAAAGTATTATTGTTCGTGTAATTACATTTAAAAGGACTTAAGGAATCACATAAACATCATTTCATATAGAGAGTTAGTTTCTTTCTTTTTTTCCAAAGTAATGATCGTCATTTTTATGAAAAAAAAAGCTGAAGCCCTCCCCCCCAAAATTAAATCCTGGATCCGCTAGTGATGGACTAGACACTTCATTGACCACACGCCTGGTCAACATCTCATCACATCCAAGGTCAACGACATCCACACCACTGTTATATTCGAATTTATACATAAATAAAAACAAAATCAAGGTTAAAGATGCGAAATGTTTATTGTTTATTCTTTTTAGTAGAATTACTGGTTTATTATCTACCGTCTGTAATTACAATGAACATAACATGACCTTTACCGATAAATATAATTGAAATAACAATTTTCCGGCGAGTGGAATGTGCGTGTAAGGTAGTTATGCTGGAAAACGAAAGAATCACTAAAAGGGTAATCAGCGCTGGGCAGACAGGCAAACTGAAACGTTGATAGGATGATTGCATACTGGTAGATTTGTGTTAAGTAGAGGGGGATACCGTTGGTGTTATCGGCATCAAACCTTAGTGTTCGTTACAACTTCTTATTATTATATCTTAAAATATTTATTAATCTAATAAAAAATCTTTGATAAACAAAAAAAATAGGCATTTTTCAACTCAGAATAATATTTCTATTCACTTACAGATCGTCCATTCATAGTCATAGTATCATTGACCGTCTTTGTCTTCACAGCTCATTCCCTTCCTGGAATCAGGGCATCTGAATCGGCAAACTGCAGATTGTGCCACTTCGATTCGTATTTATATTTCTTGCTTCTCCATTCAACCTAATCAAAAAATAAATTTATTACTAGCACTTTTTTCATATTCAATACTTTTTTTTACTTATATATAAATACTCTCCTATGCCCACTCTCTCACCAGTAGCTATATAAAGAAAATAATTTATTAAATTTAATTAAATAATAGAAATGATAATTAGTTCCTGAGAACTGCTGTGAAGATAATGTCATATGGCGTTATTCCCGATTACTGGAGCAGGCTTTCTGCTGTTTTATTTTATTTTTTATTTAGCATTAAAAAGTGTTTGAGTTGATTTTAATCAGTCAACATTTTGCACTGCGACATTGCGCATTGAATGCACTGTAACATACGAGTATAGACACATTCACAAACATTGGTCATTTCAGCGAAGTTTTTCTTTCTTCAGAGATCATTCATACCAACTTTGCCATTATACAAACTTTTTTTTTTCTTGATATCTTGGAGATAGTTTCAGTAATAAAAGTCCCTTTCATAGATTGCTCATATGAGTTAAATTTTCCCGTTTTTTTTTGCACTGTATCATTGAAGTGCAGAATAAATTCCTCTGTTTTTTCCATATACTTTTTTTTCTATCGGTTGTATGGAGTGGAAATTGGTGCTGTAGTGGCCGTGCACTTAAGTGCTACCAAGATCATGGCTGTTCCATTTTTTTAGGAGCCAATTTCCGCTTAGTCTCGCCTCGGCTGCCACTGCCCATGGACTTGGTCCTTTCCTGCCAGTCTCTTTGCCTTAAATATGACTCTAAATATATCATATAAGGCTTGTTATAGTCCGGAAAATTATAAAACTGATTTATTTTGTAATATATTAAGATTACAAAAGTCCATTTGTATATCCACATCTGCCAATCGTCGTTTAATCATATAAACAAGGGAAGGAAGACTCAATGTTATGCAGTGTTACCTTTTCCAGGTTTTAATTAATTTGGGATGGGTGGTAACATATTTCTATTTTAGTTTTCCGAATTTCATCATACATCAACCTATTAGTATTATGCATCTTCAAAACTTGTGCAAAATAAAACACTCAATCTTTTTATATGGGAAGTTTTTATCTCTTATGAGTATATATTTGAAATTTCACAATATTATTATTTTTTTTTGTTTTAAAGGGCGAAAAACCTCATTGCACTTTTTCTGTGAATTGAATTACTTTTTCATACCTCCTTGCAATGTACTATCTCTTTTATGAAATTAACAACTTTGTTGAGATAATTGTTAATTTCAGTTATTACTACTCTAGCGAGTACAAGAGAGAGAGAGGAATGTCTAAATTTTCCTGCTGTCCTTAAGACAATCCTCGATTATGTGACTCAGTTCTGATATTTTTATTACACTTATATTCACTGATAATGCTGTTTGATAGTCCTGATATTTTAGACATAAATAATACTAATTTATGATTTTTTGCTAAACAGTAGTTCCAAAAGATACTACACTCAACTAAATAAATAATGAAACTGAAAGTTAATACAATTTATTATTTATTTTTTGTAATAAGTAAAAGGTAACCTTATTAATGCAAAATCCAAAAAAAATTAAGCTTGAAAAATTTCAAAATAACAATTAAAACATACATAATTATAATTGTAAATTTATCTTACTGAAATCTGTTACTCCCACCTAAATTTGTACTGAATATGTGCAGTGATTTATACACTGGGATATATTTTAAATATTATTACTAAAATAACAGTTAGCTCAAATATAAATATTTTATATTTAATTTATTTTACAGGGCTTAGTGATCATACTGTGGTAAAGTTGATTGGAAAAAAACCGACTAAGTCTGGTGAAAATTTGACTATGACATGTGAGGTGGAAGGGACTGATCCCATCTCGATTCAGTGGTTTAGGTAAGAATTTATTGTTTTTTTCTTAATTTTTCATTATTTATTGTTTAAATATAAATAAATAAAATCTCACAAATTAGATTAAATTTTAATATTATATATATATATATATATATATATATATGAGATACATTTTTTATTTCTAAAAACATAAGCATTTATGTTAAAAATAATTAAATACTTGCTTGTTTTGATATGTAATTTTAAAAGTTGTTTACTAAGATGCTTCAAATAAAATTTTAGAAATGGTGATGGCCTCAAAACAGCAGGTAAAATTCAAACAACTGGTCGAGACCTAGTGGTTCTCAATGTTAACCCTCTCGATAATGGAATTTATCGGTGCCTTGCTACCAATCCGTCTGGAACTGTCAACAGTAAAAATACTGACATAATCACTGTGCCTGGTATGTATCTCTCACTAATTACTCAACTTTGCAAAAATATAACTAGTTCTATTCTTTTGTGTTATTAATAAAACTTGTAATTTTTAGGAGAACAGTGGGCACAAATAGTGGTTCCACCTGAAGATACAATTACTAAAGAAGGGACCAATGCTCGTTTTGACTGTGTCTACAATTTTGCAGATGTTATTGAATGGTATTATAAGCAAAAGGGACCTCTTGAAAATTCTACACAGTGAGTAATAATTGATTTTGGTAAAATAATCTGTAAATTATAATAAATAGATTTTTTCTTTGCAATAAATATTATTTAACTTATATTTTTGAGTTCTATTCATTTATAAATTTTATACACATTAATTATCTGATGTGCACAGAATAAATTATTATAAATTTCTAATTAAAGGAGAAAAATAAATAAATTAAAGAATATAGATATAAATGAAGAGTAAGAAAATTAGTAGGAAACAATGAGATAACTATATTTAAATTAAGTTTATTAAATAGTCATATTTTTTTATATATATAAAACAAAATATATATGGGTATTTCTGTTCACTAGAAATATGTATTTGTTTTAAAGTTTTTACTAATTGCTGTAGTAATATTGTATATATATTTATTGAAATGAATAGAAAGGGAATACTTTTACAATAGATAACATTTATTTTATCATAAATAATTTTATTTTGTGATTGATTTATTGTTGATCCTAGAGATTGTTGGTTTTGATGAAACTAAGAATTAAACCAGCAAATATTTAGCATTTTTCATCAAAGCAGAAAAGAAAAATTAGAAAGTTGTTACAAAGGATCTTTAAATATCAAAATGTGTATGGTTAGGAGGCTAGGCAGCTCTAAATGAAGTCAGATAGTTTGAGGAAGCATGGAGACAGACACCAGATATATTTATCTTTGGTGGGGTAGGGGTGGCTAGTAAACAGAGGCACATCTGGTTTTAAACATAAAAGGAGATTGTACCTTTCATGTAAATACAATATTAAGCTAATGTAAACTAATGTCACACTACTCCTTTAAACTTCATGCCTTTCTATATCCTACAATCCAAGTTCCTTCTGTAAACCTATTCTTTTTATTTCTTGTTACCGTTTAAGTCATTACCATATATTACATCTTAGATTGTTGATGCACCTTTCAAGGTGGTGTAGAAATGTAGTTAAAAGTTGTCTTTATAGGTTTAGAGTCATTTTATTTTTTTAGGTTTGTTTTTAAATTTCAATCAAGGTTATCTTACTAAATTCTTTTTAAAAAACTATTTATTTTTTTAATGAATGCTTTATCCCACTGTGAACCCATATAATGTACACAATTAATAAACCTTTTTTATTATTATCATTATAATTATTGTTAAAACACTCTGTGTTAAAATAAATATATTAATTTTTATTTGAATAAAATTTTGAGTTCAATTCGGGTTTATTACAGCTTGGAATTGATTTAGCATTGAACTAATGGGGTTTTGAATAAATTCTACCATTAGAAGAACTGATGTTTTGTGAATCCATTCTGATTTATTCTAGAAGGAAATTTATTTCATTTAGATTTAGATTTGGACTACATGATAGGTATTCTAAACATTGGATTTAAATATTTTTTTAGTGTTCATAATAAAAGGGTTGCTAAAACTATAAGGGTTGGTGTTTTTTCTCCTATTAAATTAATTAATAAGGTATTGAATATCTAGCTTCTCAGTGGGTGTCAGTGGCTCTACCAAAATCTATTTTTCTCTTTTATATATATATATATATATATATTGTAACTGTCTAAATTAATTCATTTATTTTTAGTAAAACGTTATAAATGGTTGGCTTGATTTGTTTCAGTTACTCTGTTTTAACAAATGGATCTCTAGTAGTGTTAGGTGTAACTAAACAAGATGAAGGCCTATATTCATGTGTTGGAATAAGAGGCGAAAGTACAGAAGTCCCACAAATATTTTCAGCTCAGTTGCACTTAGCGTGTAAGTATTAAAAAAAATATATAAATAATAATTCTCTATTAAAATTTATCAAATATTCATCTTTCAATATATATATATATATATATATATATATATATATATATATATATATATATATATATTTTTTTTTAGATTTGAAAGAGGCCGATGACCAAACATTGGAACCATGGGAAGGTGGTCTGCGCTTGGTGGCTGAGGATTCTGATAATGAAATTGGATGTGTTGGATATGGACTTCCTACTCCGACTGTCACTTGGTCGAGAGGAGGAACTGGAAATTTGCTCAAGCTGAAATCTGTTTCAAAAGCTGACCAAGGAAACTATACTTGCACCATCTCAAATCTAGCCGGAACAACCACAGCTACGGTTAAAATAGTTGTAACAAGTAAGTTTTAAATCATTGGTATCGTTACACTTACTATATTGAAGATATTTACTGTCACATAATTAGTACAGTAAATTCTTCGTTATCCACTACTTAAATAACATCAATATTTTAATACGGTTATATAACCGTAATTTGAAGCATTTTTTAATATAATCCCCATAATCTTTCAAACTAATCTGTTTTAAATTTAAAAATATTATTATTTTAAAATATATTAAATCATTTAAAAGAATGACTATGTTATTTGTAAAAACTAATACAAAATTATTTTTATAGCACGCCCTTTCATTGAACAGAATCCTATTCCAGTCATAGTCGATGAAGGCAACGATGCATTATTTCATTGTGAATTCTCAGGAAACCATAAATATAGTACAGTCAGTTGGTATAAAGATGGCACCCTTATAAAACCTGGTTCAAGATTTATTGAAAAAAGAGGATTCTTAAATATTACTCAGACGCAACCATTAGACGAAGGAGATTATTTATGTGTGGTTACTACAAAACCATATCCTCCTATTTTCTCTAGCCCAGCATCACTCACAGTGAAAGGTAATATTTAATAGTTTAAGAATTTGAATTTGAAATATTCGTAAGTTTAATGTGCCTAGACACCAACTCTCTAATTTTATTCAATAAGAGCACCATGCAAACCATAAATTGATAACAAAATAATATATGATTAATTGAAAACAATTAGTTGAATTTCATTAAATAGAAATAAAGCGGAATGGTAAAAAAAAGGAAACATAACTTGACTAATGATAATTTCAAAAACAAGTGCTGTATAAATTAAAATTAAAATATAAAATTGTTGTACCAAATAATAAAAGAGAAGAGAACATGAAAAAGTTTGTATACGCTATTTTTTTTATGAAGTTGAATAATTGGTTTACTGATTGGTCTAAAATATTTTTTTAAAAATTGTTTCCTATTCATCACAATATATATATATATATATATATTCTTATTATTTTATTGACACAACAGGCACATGAAGCTGCCAACCCTCTTATCTTCTGTAAGGATAACAGGAATCCTCAGATCCTGCCCCACATCATCCCTATATAGGCCCTTTGGCCTACTGCCTCAGTGCACACCATTCAGAATGTTAATATGTAATTTATGAGACACTCTTTCCTCACTCATCCTCATCACATGGTGAAGCCACTTAAGCCTCTGTATCCTGATATATAAGGAGATGATATATTTCTTGTAGAGCCTAAACAACTAACTATTTTTCCTTATCCGTCAATTACCATTCTCGCATACAGGCTCTCAGATTCTCCTCAGAATTATCCTTCCAAACCTATCCAGCAGGTTAATGTTTTTATTGCTTTAGGTCCACATTTCTCCACCATTTGTGACGATTAGCCTTATATCATCCTTTAGCGGAGTTTCAACATAATGAGTTATTGATCCGTGTTAACAACATATCCTCTATATGATTTGATGTCATTTACACAATTAAAATTTTTGGAGGATACCAGCACGTGATCAATTTGACTTGCTGTGATGCTATCCACGTTTCTTTATGTACATTTTTATGAGGGAACTTAGTGCTCATATATATATATATATATATATATATATATATATATATATATATATATTATTTTTTTATTTCTTTATTGTATATTAACAAATATAAGGTTTATTGTATATTTTTATCATATCAATAGTGATCCGTTGGTTTATCACATATTTTTATTTTCATTTATTGCAACACATACATTTATTTTTCCTATTTATACTTATATTATTTTAAATAAAAAGTTTAATGTTTTTAAGCCTTAATGTACTATGGCAATTATAATGACAATTTGGTTTTTTGTTTGCTTTCAGAAAAATTAAAATTTGCTCCGAAACCTGTTAGTACACATTTGGAACTTGGTACACCAAAAAAAGTTCATTGCAAGGCCCATGGAGCTACTCCTCCTTTTGTCAAATGGATAAGGGTAATCATTTGTTTAAATTGTATTTAATTTTTTCTTAAACTGCTTGTTTGAAATTATCTTAATTTTTTAATTTTAATTAAAGGAAGGATATGGTGAAGGTGAATTTCCGAGTCACATCTCTGATATTAATGGAACTTTACACTTTAATAAAGTACAGGCAGATGATAAAGGAAAATATACTTGCATTGCCTCAAACTTTCAAGGCATCATCAATGCTACAATCGATATAGATGTTGTTGGTATGTTCCTTTTTAATCTAATGTAATTAAATGTGAGGCAGTTCATGTTTTAAAATATTAAAATCTTAAGTTTATTTGTTTTACTAGTTGTATTTTTACCAATACAGTTGTAAATTTCAATGAAGAAAAAAAAAGTTTATTTGTAATATTGATTGCATTCTAATTTCATAAAATAATTATTTTCTTATTCTCAGCCAATCTTTCTTATGGCATTAGGATATATTCAATTAACTAATAGAGTCATCAAACAATTTTTTTTTTTTTTAAACAACCTTGAAATAATTTTAACAAAATCATTTTCTCATTTTGATGTATTGGTAATTTCAGTCAGTCCCAAGTTTACTGTTCTTCCGCAAAATCCAACATATGTATCAGAGAACTCTATTGTTATAATGGATTGTATGGCAGAAGGAGATCCAAAACCAGCTATACACTGGGATAAGAACTCAGATATGGAAAGCTTCGACAAAACTCGGTATGAAATATTACTTGCAAGCTATTTTTATATTAATTTTTCTTGGTATATTTATATATAGAATATAGATTTAATAATGAAACAGAACGAAAAAAAGGACTGTCTTTTTCCGGAACCCTAAAAAAAAATTAAAGCTCCAGTTCAAGATTACAAGAAAGTGTGAACCTCATCCTCATACTTATATATCAATAGTCTTTACTGTGCCAAAATGATATAAAAATATGATTCTATTTCCAAGCCTCCTGACAATGCAATAGATGCAGATACAGGGTATAGAAATAAATGCAAATTAGATATTATATCATTATACAGTCATTCAAAAAATAGTATTGAAAAGATCAAGGACAAGTCTACACTTCATAATATTGCTCAAATGTAGACTATGAATATGAATGCCATGTGCTGGATCTCCAGAAGGAAATACTTGTGAGAAGTAATGAATATACTTGTAAAAATTAATAAAACGGGATTAAATGTTCTGTCACACCTATTTAAATTTTAACATTAATTTAAAAATTCAAAAGTTTAATTTCTATAGTTTATAAGGGTGCATACTGAAAGGTTAATTTCTTTAATCTTGTCACTCTGATAATTACCTACAACTTAGGCCAAAATATTGGTATCCATTAAAAGAAGTTTTGTGCTTACTGTGTATTTTCTTTACACAACTAAACAACTTCTCCTAGGTTGATTTTTATAATTCATTATACAATTTTAGATGGTTTGGTTAAATTCTTTAACACTTGAAAAAACTTGAAATCTAAATATGAAAAACAATTTTTTTTTTCCAGTTTTACTGTTCTGGAAAATGGTTCTCTTCTAATAACAGATGTTTTGATCTCTGATGAAGGAAAATATGGATGTACAGCTGGAAACAGTGGAGGATTAAAGAGATATGAAGTTTCTCTTATTGTTCGAGGTAACATAAAAATCTATTACTATATTATTATTAAATAAAACTAACAAATGTTGTTTTTAATTTCCTGCCTATACTAGGTAAGGAAAGTATTGCGATCAGGTAAAATTTCTGATATGAAGTTTCCAATGGAACTCAACATTTCAGAGCCCCCTTAGTCCGAAAAACACATTTTCAGCCATTAGTTTGTCTGTCTCTGCCAAGATCATCTTGGGGACTAGTGGACCAATTTTGTTTCTTCTTGTTTTGTTTTGTAAGGGTTTGTCTACCGACGCCTGTGACAAAAATTGGCTGCTCTCTGTATAATAAGATAAAAACATGTTTTTCTACAAACTGTAGCGCAAAAACGGCTTTAACAATTTCTATGACTTTCCAATTAATTTCCTTTCAAATTTCATACATGTGCTAAATTTTCGAGAAAATTCAGGAAGTTCCAAAGACCGGAAAAATTGTCTGGTGTCTAACTTGCCAAGTAGATGTGTCTGTCTGTCAACACTTTTTGGCTAGTTATTTTTTTTTTAAGATAATGAAATTTCCTACAAAACTATATAAAAATCGTTCATTTCAGATAACTATTAACAAAATTATAGTTTTTCAAATTTATATGTAAGATTACATGTTCAAATCCCGGTGACAGAAAAGAGAGAAAGAGAGAGAAAAAAGAATATTAAGTGAAAGTAAAAAAATCTGGTGTCTACATCACACTTTTCACCTCCTCTCTACTTTTAACAGAAATTATTGTCCGACGAAATTGGGCTATTGCAAAAATATTTTTGACTAGCAATGTTAGATGGTATTGAATTTTTTACACTGATCTTCGATAAAAATTTTTACATTGCTTTAGTTTATCAAAGAAATCATAATCAAATCTTTTCTTTGATCAATTATCAGGAAAATAATTCTAATTTAATTGTTTTTTAAAGGATACATTTAAAGATATTAAAACTTTTCTGAAATTGGTAGGAAAGTCGTGTGAGTTGATACACCACATTTTTTCAATTTTATTACTTCTGAGATTTCTTACCACAGTTTGACTATAACTTGTTTTACACTTTGTAACATAAAACTGATAGTCTTGGTTACAATGATTGATCAAGTTAACCCTCAAAACTTACAAATGGATTTTAGCTAAAATAGAATTTTTTTAAGTTTATCAAAAAAAAATAATGATAAACTGAGAATTAAAAATTGTCTATACTACAAAACTGTTTAAAATATTTATTCAATTTTTATATTTATTATTTTTTTAGGTTCTGAAGGTTATAGAGTCACTGATGGTAGTGACAGTGACAGCGGTGCAGTCTTGAGTAAAACAGTGGCAGTAACTTTAGGTGCAGCAGGAGCCTACATGGTACTTGTGATCGGCCTTATGGCATATTGTAGATGTCGCAGCCGTAGAAACAAACAAGCTTCTCTTGATCATCCAGATGCTGTCTGTTAGTTTCAACAATTTTTTTTTTTTTTTGTATTATAATCATGTTCTGAAAAATTATACTTCCTAAGTATAATCACTCTTGTTCGAATTTCATAAGTAATATTGATTTATTTATTTTAATGATTAAATTTTAAAGGTGATGTTCTTATAGTCCCTGGTGATGGTGGTGAAGGAGGAAACGAGAGAAAAGGAAGAAATGGTGATCTGGTCGTCCAGAGTGATGGTGATGTACCAAACCACTCGCATACTTCCAACCATTCGAGCAAGTATGGGAATTTACCAGTGACTCGAGATCAGCTATCTAATATGATGGTTTTAGGTAATTAAAAAGGCAGATATTTGTTTGAAAAAAAAATAATAATAAAAAGTATCCTCCGTTTATAATTTTATATTGGACATAATATAATTTAATTTGTGGTTAATGAAAATGTTAAGAAAGGCCAAACAAAAGTGAAAACATATTTAATGAAGAAATTAAATATTGTCACATTCAAAATACTACTCTCCCTTACTTACTTCATCTCTGTTTCCAATGCTAGAAGACTCCCAGGAAGTACTCTATTTTGATGATTTTTAGCTACCTTGTTTTATCTGTTTTAATGGCAGCCCCATAGTCACCAAAATAATGACCCCAAATCTCATTTTGTATTTGGGATACAAAAAAAATCACATGATGCCATATCAATTTTTTTTTTTGCTAATCCCTTTCTTATGTTTACTTAACACCTTGAGTGTGGATGAGATACGTGCCTTCCCGTCCAGAGGGTGCAATAACTATCTTTTCACCTCGGCTATCGCTACATGTAGCGGAAAAGGGAAAGCCCCGCTTCCACTGTTCACTCAGTTTGGTCAATCTGATTTCTGGCCAATTGTTGGAAGCTGTTGCAGATTTATTCAGAACCGAAAATTAAATAAAAAGGTTTTAAATGCATTTTTGAAAGATAATATCTTTCAGGGTGACTCAAAATAGTATTTTGAACAAATTGAAAGAGAAAAAAATCCCTTTTTCCAAACGTCTCACAGTCAAAGAGTTAAAAAGAAATATTATCTAAAGGAAAATATAAAATTAAATAGCAATTAAAATAATGTTCTCACAAATTATAATATTAAACTGAACTTGGCACAATTTCTTCAAAAAAAAAAAAAAATGCCAATAATTGGAGAAATTGAAAAAAAAAAAACTCAATTGCATATCATACATTCATTAGTAATAATAATTTCTTAAATGAGTGCTGGTCATATAGACATTGGATAAAATATATCACAGTACATTAGCAGTTAACATTTCCTTTTGAAAAATTAAAAATATACTTCAGTATCAAATTTTTTTCTAATATAGTTAATGAATTCCAGGTCGAGGTCAATTTGGCGAGGTTTGTCTTGCTCAGGTCACACAAAGTGAGTCAGTTGTTATGGTGAAAGCTCTGCAAGAAACCAGAGATGAAGCAGTGTTAATAGAATTTAAAAGGGAACTAGATCTGTTCGGAAGGGTGGACCATCCGAACGTTGCTAAGCTCGTCGGTCTTTGTCAAGAACAAAATCCTCACTACATGATTCTTCAGTACACAGATTGGGTAAGTAATTGTTTATATATTGTTAGGCATTCTAAGGTTTAATGTTTCAAAATAAAGAATCCTTTGTGTATTTTGAGATATCTTATGCATAAAAAATATATCTTTGCACAAAATGATTGCATGATTTTAATATCTCTATGAAAAAACAAAAGTACAATAAATATTCTCTAATTACATATATACTCGATTATAGTAAGCCTTCATTTTTCTGTTATTAGTCAAATTTAAGTTTTTTAGACCAAATAGTTTTTTCAGTGTTAATAAGCTGTATATTTTTTTTCCTGTTTGGATAAATCCCACACAGGACCTTATTTGCTTTTTTCTTGTTTTATTTATTACATTGAAACATTTTAATTATTGCAATATCAATAATCTAACAATATGGTATGTATAATATCAATAACCATTCTTTTGATGCGGTTAATCCATAAGGCAAATAATAAAATGTATAGGATTATCAGAGCTCTGTGCTATCCCTTCTCTTCAGATTTTTTTTTTCAAGCCCCGCAAATAAATGCTCATTTCAACCATTGTACTGATATTGCTTAAATTACATCAGCAGAGAGCCAGGAAAAAGTGAAATTAAATTAATGAGATATTAAAACATATGAAATCTACCTTTGGATATACAAAATTCAAAATAAATAAATAAAATAAAAATAATCACAGATCAAATAAATATTAATCAATAACATTTTTAAGTATAATTAGAATTATGTTATTCACCCTTATGACCCAAACGTATAAGTGAAAATGGTGAACTATTTTTATAAATTCTAAATAGTTCTAAAAATTATTTTAGGGAGACCTCAAGCAAATGCTTTTGGCTTCTAAGGCAGATCGGAAAGACAAACCTAAGCCACCAGAATTGACACCACGAGTCTTATTGGGTCTGGTACAACAAATTTGTCTTGGAATGGAATCTCTTTCTAATCACAGATTGGTCCACAAAGATTTAGCTGCTAGAAACTGTTTAGTTGCATCTGATTTAACAGTCAAAGTATCTCTTTCTGCCCTTTCAAAGGATGTGTACCGCAAAGAATATTTTCTTCATCGAAATCAAGTAAGTTCTTTACCATAGAGTGATAGCTTAAAATTTTGATTTTTTTAAAAATTAATTCAATCTTTGTGTTTTTATTTTTTATATTGATTTCTTCCTTGAAAAATCTAGCTTATCTTAAGATAGTTTTTTTTTTTTTTTATCTTGACACATAAAAAATATCTGTTTTTTTCTTAAAGTTATAATTTAACTTCATTGAAGAAATGACAAATAGGTATTACACCTAAAATCGTTTGGTTTGCTTGATAAAAAATGGAATCATTAAGAGTTAATTTGTTACTTTTCATTTCAGAGTAAATTAAATTTTTTCAGCAACTTTTAACATCATCATTTCATTTACTTTAATCCAAGCCCCATTGAATGTGATCATTATATATTATACAATTACTTTTAACTTTAATTATAATAAACTAACCTAAACTTTTTAAGCCATTACCATAAATTTTGGTAATCAATTATTCATGTACGTTTAACAACCATTTCTTTTGAATGTATATTTTTATAGATTGCTCTTAATTTTGGAATATTTAAGAATTATTTTTATATTGATACAAATTTTTGTTGCAATTTTTTTTTATGATCTCAATAAAGGACATAGAGAGAATCTGCTAAATTACTTATCCCATTTATTTGTAATTATCTAGAATTCATTATTATAACTACTCTTTTCGTTTTTAGTTACTACCAGTCAGATGGTTGCCCTATGAAGTCGTTTCAGAAGATGATTATTCAACAAAATCAGATGTTTTCTCATTTGGTGTAACTGCTTGGGAAATTTTCTCTCTTGGAAATTTGCCTCATGGTGGGAGATCTGACCAGGAAGTTCTTTCAAGTCTGGAATCTGGTGACAATGCACTTCCTTTGCCATCATCATCACCTGAGGCATTGCAATTACTAATAGATAAATGTAGAGCTAAGTGTCCAAATGATCGTCCAGTGTTCTCAACAATTGCCCTTCAACTTGCCGATATTATTAATCAAATCGACTGAAATTAATCTATGTTCCTTTTATATGATTGGATGTGTCTTTATATGTATTTAGCTAAATGCAGTTTTGAGTATTTTTTCAAATTTTATAATATATTTCCTAACAGTTATTTAGGATAGATTTCATAAAATAGGTTTGTTTTTTAATTTTTAATGTGTAAAGTCTGTATTATTCATTTTTATGTCTGTCCATTAAGTTTGGTTGAAATGTATGGGCTTCCAAAAACGTTTTATGATATTTTCTTTATTGATAAAAACACTTGCTGAAAACTCTATAAGAAGAAGTAGCCCAACATGAAAAAACAAATTGAATATTTCATTTTTTTGAAGAGTGATTATAAAACAAAACAGAAATTTACATAATTAAGACATTCATCCTACCAATGTTATTATTTATTTATATCAACTTAAAGTTTCGATGCTTAAATTTATATAGATAGATAATTTTGATTGATGAATGCTTCAATGTAATTAAAAAAATGTAGTATATATTTATTTGCTGGACATTTATTATATTGCCTCACATGTACAAGACATGAGTAAAAAAAATTCATAAATTCCTAAGTATTCTGAATGTGACCATGAAAAAATCATGAATACAATTTGGAAAATACTGTTTTATTTTGAATTTTAATATTAATTATACATAAAAGAGGATTGAAGGTTACAACCAATTCTTACCATATTTTGAACTAAAACTGGTTTAACAACCCAGTGATGGCTGTTGTTTGTAAAGAGTTTTTTTAAATAATTAAGAAGCATTGCAGTGGAGAGCCAGAGATTAACGTTTGCATTTAATAACTTTTTTGATTGCGATATACCTATAGTTATAAGATGTCAAAAAAGCTTTATTGTTACTTCTTTATTAAATAAAAGTGAATGTGATGATAGCATTTGTCAAATATATTGTAAATTAATGTTAATACTTCTCAAACACAAAATTCTAAGTCAGAGGCACATGTTTCGTTGTAGATATTGCGCCTGTTTTCGAATAATCTTTAATATAATAATTTTGAATATGGGATTTAAAAAATCAATGTATCAATGTAGTAAACGATTTTTTTGCAAATATATAAATGTTTTTATGTATGAAATATTTTATATTAATTTCTAGTCAACTTGTTTATATGTATTTTGTATGAAATAGAGAATAATGTTCTGATTCACATTGTGAATTAAACATTTTTATGTAAATGTAATTTTGAATTGTTTATTTAATATGTATTTTTGACTTATTACTATTAATTATAGTGATGTTTGTTTTGTAATATTTAGTGTTCGAAATCCAAAAAGCCTAAGAGCACTGTAAATATATTTTATCATGTGTACATATCATTTAGTATAATGTAATTAATAATTTTGTATGTCTTTTATACATTCAAATTAAATTGTGTTAATGTGTTTTTTATTATAACAATTTTTTTTCTTGAAAAAAATTTACATTTTCCTATTCTGACTACTTAATAAATCCATTATTGGATCCAACCATGAAAAGTTTTGTTCTGGAGCTACCACAATAACCACACCTGTGCTCCATATGTTATATTCTTGGTGTGGATAGCTATATATAAAATTTGCTTGACTTAAATTAAAACTCTTAGCTCACTCCTACACCTCTTCTAACTTAAAGAAAAAAAAAAACTGATATTTTCTGCTGTTTGATTTCTTTCCTATGGCCTAATTTTAGTGAGATCCTAAATCATTCCTAAAAATTCTATATTTTGACTTGGTACCACTTAAAACCAAAATGGATTAAGTCTTGACAATATCCTACTTATATATCTAGGTAAAAAAAAAAAAAAATCAATTTTAGTTAGAGATCCTAAATCATTCCTAAAAATTCAATATTTTGACTAGGTACCACTTAAAACCAAAATGGATTAGGAGTCTTGACCATATCCTACTTATATATCTAGGAAAAAAAAAAAATCAATTATGTCTTGGTTGAATTAGAAAGCATTTTTGTGCAGCAAGCCTGAGCAACATAAAATTATATAGTATTTGGAATGAATACTATCTATAAACTTACCATTTTCAGGATTGTTAGCTGGAAAAGCCTAAATGCATCTTTGAAGAAGGCTGTGCTACTACCAAGCATTGGCATAGCAGCGAGATGAAGGTTCTTTGGAGTGTCCTATGAATATATATATATATATGTGTTGGTCGCTGCAGTTTGACTGTCTCCCTAAAACAATAAGAATCCAATTGGTTGAACAAATATAAAAATAAATAAAGAGAGATGGCAAGAATATCATATGTCATTGCTCCCTCTCCAATAATTCAAAATAATTATTTTAAAAAAATAAACTAAAATCAATAACAAATAATCTACATTAATGCATAAAATATTTAAACTAAAGACTAGCTAAGCTAAGGCCTTTAAGTACGCAAGTAACTATTTTAGCACAGCCTAAATATTCTATTCATAATTTTAATTTACATTCAGAGGTACAATATATAGCAACATTTCCTAAGATGATTCATTCACCCCTCATGTACACCCCCGTCCCATTTTTACATCTTATCCAGCTAATTTAAACAACATTGGTGGGAGTTCATTTCAAACCCTTTCAAACTTTGAAGACTTCAAATACTTCTTCTTGATTAGAACTCGACAGTTAAGATAATTTGTACACATTCCCTTTAATCTCACCTATTTAATAGAAACTCTTCATCATTCATTAAATTCCAAAGACAGTTTCTCTCCAAGGAAACATAAGCTGCTTTAAAAATGATAAATAAGGTGTGCACAACCTGGGCTTCTTCTTCTCATTTTCCAAACAGCTGTTATGTACCCCTTTTATCTAATAAATCCTACTAGGTAATCACCAAATATATTTTCATATTATGAATAAGGGAACCAAAAGAAGTGCTTTAACTCTTTAATTACCGCAAACTCCCCTTCTTATGGACAAATTAGGCCTGTATTCCAAGCCTCCAGAATCCTTTCCTACTCTCATATTTTCTGAATTGATTGTAATAACTTAAATCATAAGTATACTTCCCCATTTTTAAATAGCTCTGGAGGTTGGCTGTTCATCCATGATGCCTTTTAATTATTTTTTTTTGTTTATTGATAAATATTACAATCTGTCTCAATAAAGGACATTTATAATAGAGTTCTGAGAGCACATTCACACCATATTTACGAAAAAAAATAAAAAAATAAGCTAACTTCAAATAATATAAAGCTACAAAAGAACAAAATAAAATATCATAGTGAGAAAAAAAAAAAGTAATGAAAATAAACATCTTAGACGCAGGCATACCTATTTACATTATTTACAGTCGGCCATAGTTACTCTGAACCATACTTATCCCCCCACATGTGGAGGGAAAGCAAGGCTTCAGGAGATCCCTGCGCTTCTTCCTCAACCATTTCACTGGCATTGAAAGCCAGCGGAGATTGAGTAAGGGCGCTACAACCACGGACACTCATGACTTGAGTGGAGAATCTGGCCATTGCCAGAACTCCAGTATATACATGTTACAAAAGGTCACGGGGCCACTGCCGTTTCAGCCTGCGAGGAGGATTGTAGGGATGAATGGTGCTACATAGGGATTGCGCTACGGGATTAGGGTGATGGGTAAGGTTCTGATGAAATTTGGAGAATTTGTCTGGGATAAGATCAAGAATAAATGGAATATTAAGGTCATCATTGTGCAGGGTTTTATTAGAGACATAGAAGGGAGCATCGACTATTGTACGGAGGACTTTGGACTGGAAGGATTGAATGCGTTTGATGTTAGAAAATTTGGTTGTCCCCCATAGTTCTAGTCCGTAGGTCCACATGTGTTTTAATATTGTCTTGTAGAGCAGTAGTTTGTTTTCAATAGAAAGTTTAGATTTTCTATTAAGTAGTCTATATAGCTGGCCATAACGTCGGTTAAGTTCCTGTCTTTTTAGTCTAGTATGCCGATTCCACGTTAGTCGTCTGTCTAGGAGAAAACCAAGGTATCGGACTGTGTCGCAGAAGGGAAGCTGGATGGTATTAAAGTAAACTGGTGGACAGGAATTACGACAAAGGGTGTAGGTTATATGTTTACATTTGGATTCATTGACTTTGATGCGCCATTTCTTGTACCAGTGTTCAATCAAGGATAGGTGCCGTTGCAGGTTTCTGGACGCTGTTTCAGAATCTGAGTTAGAAGATAGGATCGCAGTGTCATCAGCGAAAGTTGCCAGGAGTGTATCGGGATGGACGGGAATGTCAGCGGTATAGATGATGTAAAGGAGGATGGGACCCAAGACGCTGCCTTGAGGAACTCCAGCCTCAATTGAATAACAGTCGGAAAATTCTGTACCACAGCGAACTCGGAAGGAGCGGTCGGAAAGATAGGATCGGAGTACTAGGTATAAGGACTGTGGTAGATGGATTTTAAGCTTGAAGAGTAATCCAGCGTGCCATACCCGGTCAAAAGCTTGCGCTATGTCCAGAAATGCACCCGAGCAATACTGCTTGCTTTCTAGGGCTGAGGATATGTGGTCAACAACTCGGAGTCCTTGTTGAACGGTAGAATGTTGGGAACGGAATCCGAATTGATGGGTAGGGATTTTACGGGAGTCTATAATGGGTAGGATTCTTTTCAGGAGGATCTTTTCAAAAATTTTTGAAAGAATTGGGAGTAGGCTAATTGGTCTATAGGATGATGTATTATTGGGAGGCTTGCCTGGTTTCAGGAAAAGGATGATGGTGGAATGTTTCCATAGGAGAGGGAAGTGGGTAGTTCGGAGGATACAATTGTATATATAGGTTAGAAATATGATGGCTTTGGATGGTAGTTGTCGTAGGATCTGCGGGGTTAGAAGGTCGTATCCAGGAGATTTACGAGGAGTGATTTTGCGTAATAGGTATTTGACCTCAGAGGGATTAACTGCTTTAGGTGGTACCTTTTATTATGCCAGCATTTATTTCCAAATTCAGAATATTAACATGTGACATACACCAACATGTGATCAATCTGGTTCATACGTTTACAGCTATATGTAATTGAAGATGTTATGCTTTTATTGTTGGTATAGCATAAATATATTTTGCTGAGAATTTTTTTAATAGACATGTTAATATCACTAGCCAGAAAGTGAAAATGTTTTATATTTATTTTATGTTGCATAGACAAAGGAATCATAAATATTTTTTAGTTTTTAACATTATTCATTTTTAGTTTTTAGTTCTAGAAATGTACCTGTTTCATGGAGGATTTCTTCCTTCCCCCATGTTTAATGTTAATAAAAATATGTAATATATTCAGTTAGTTTGTTCTCATTTTTTTTAATACATTCATATGAAAAAAAAAAAAATTCAAATATATATCGTGAATCATAAGAGGATCTATGGGGGAGGGGAGGAGGAAAGGGAGGCTTTCAGGCTGAAACCTCTTTCTCCCAAAATGATAAAATATAAGTATTTTTTTTACTTATTTATTTAGAAATATAATAATCTATCACGTGGACAAATACTATAGTGATATATGAATACATTCATACCATATATATAGAAAATAAAAAAATAACAAAAGTAAAATAATAACTAAATAATAATCAAAAACTATGCACAATATATCACCCATGATATGCACAATAAAAAATAAAATAACCTAAAGATTAAAAACATTAAACGCAGTCATACCTACATACCATCAGAGAGGAAACCCCAAGCCAGGCTTCTCCCTTCAATTATAAAAGGAAAAGTAGAACTCCAAGAGATCCCTGCGCTACTCTCTCAACCACGTCACTGGTGCTAAAGCCCATGGAGTTTGAGCGAGAGCGCTTTAGCCATATACACTCATGTTTTGAGTGGAGAATCTGGCTATTGCCAGAACTCCAAGATATATACTACAAAAGATCTCTAGGCCACTGCCACTTCAACCTTCGAGGAGGATTGTAGGGATGAGTGGAACTAGATAGGAATTGTGCTAGGGGATTTGAATGATTAATAAGGTTCTGATGGAATTTGGAAAATTTTTCAGGGATAAGGTCAAGGACTAATGGGATATTATGGTCATGATGTTGGGTTTTGTTGGTTCATTTAAATCCTACGTTCATTTAAATTTTAAATGAAATCCTGATACCTTTACCTTTCTTCTTTCATAAAACTTTCTATTACACTCACTTTCTTACACTAGTTTATTTTACAGTAACTGAAAAGAGGATACTTTTGAAATATCTCTTAACATGTTAGTGAGTGTTAGGAAGTATTTCAAAAATATTATTAATTAACTGATAAAATACTAATTTGTATGAGAATATCTTCAATTATTTCTAATAATAATTTTCTTATATTTCGGGTATATATTTGACTTCACTACTTTTTATGGTAAATTTTGTAATGGAAAAATAACTATATAAATGTTACGACAAAGCTGTGAAAAATAAAGCTCTATTACTATTTTTGGTAACCATTTAGATGACCTCACAACTTACGCTTGGTTCACGATCACTTTGGCC